ATTTGAGACAGAGAGAATGAGAGACAGAGAGCATGAGAGGGAGGAGGGTCAGAGGGAGAAGCAGACTCCCTGCCGAGCAGGGAACCCAATGCGGGACTCGATCCCGGGACTCCAGGATCATGACCTGAGCCGAAGGCAGTCGCCCAACCAACTGAGCCATCCAGGCGCCCACCATAGGATCCATTTAAATAGCCAGCCCCCTAGTACATTTTTTGTTTGTTTTGTTTTGTTTTGGTGCGAAAAGGTGGTTTTATTAAAGCACGGATATAGGATCTGTGGGCAGAAAGAGATGCCCACCCCCCCAGTATATTTGAAGTGGGTTTTGATTTTAAAACTTCGACTTTCAGAAATATATAGCCCTTATGTAAAATCAGGTACCAAGTAAAACATTTGCAAGTTACAGTCCATGCCCCACCCATTTCAAAGTGTTTAATACATTTACCGATGCATTTATGATATAATAAAAAAATTGAGACAGTTCCTTGGGGTATGTAATTGTGAGATTTAATCTATCCAAGTATGAGCCGGATGGCCTACTTAATGCAAATAGTTAAGAATGATGTAATACAAAGGCACGTATATTATGCCTCTCCTTCCATGCGTGCATATGTATGCTATAATGCTTAGACTATTTCTGGAAAAATATACCAGAGAAAAAGGAGAAGCTGAATCTGGAAGGGGGAATGGAAGAACTAGAGTGGTGAGGAGACTTTGCTATATTCTGTATGAATTTTATTTTTACCACTTGTAGGCATTTTTTAAATAAAAACCTTAATTTTTAAAAGTATATACAAGGGACCAAACTGGTTAAGTGAATTATTCCAGTTGGATACTGAGGTGAACTCAAAAATCATATCCTACTCCCTCAGGGCAGAGCGCCAGCTGACTCCTCGACAGAATAAAGTGAAGACAATGATTTTTTTGTTACTATTTCTAGAGACTATTATTATGTGGTTATCCATTTAGGAATAATTGTGGAAGGAACTAAAATCACGATTGGTGCGTTTTTCCTACTTTTCCCCCTTCCTGTTCCCAGCTGAAGGGTTTGATCCGCCAAAGAAGAAAAAAAAAAAAATGATCGTAGTAAGTTAACACAATTTTAAAGAAGTAAGAATGGGGACTTCTTCTGTTCTTGTAGGGCTGTCTCCACATGAATCCTGCTGAGAGACTGACATGTGAACAGCTGTTACAGCATCCATATTTTGACAGCATCAGAGAAATGGGGGCTTCAACCAAAGAGCTTGACCGACCGATAAGGAAGACCCTAAGACAGAGCCGAAAGCACCTGCCTGGGGTAAACATGGCGCGCTCTTTTAGGGAAGCATCCAGGGTCGCACTTTCAAATGATCTCATGCCTGCCACCTGGTGCGGAGAATCTGCATCTCCGAATGGAGGTGGCAGTTGCGGCTTGCAGCTCCAGCACCCTCGTTCCAGCACGAGGAGAAAGGTCCTATGATCTCTCAGCCAGGGCACCAGACGCGTCTGCGTCCGAGGGCCCCTTCTCCCTGCATCCTGCAGGTGTCCTTCCCTGCAGTTCCTTCCCTGCTGCGGCAAAGCAGCCCGGGACAGCGCCGTGCATGAGCACAGGGCTGAGCCCTGTGGAGCCTGCTTTTTGTGCTCTGGAGAATAAAATCCAGTTGATCCCAGGCAGCTCTCTGTCATCATGTTTACTCTCAGTATTGACTGACATTTCAGGTTTATCCAAAAATGGAACCGTTTCCCCCTCGCATCCTTTAATCATCAGAGTTGGCTGGGGTAGATTCGGTGGTGCGTGCTCTCAGTGGTATCCACCGAACAGCTTATTTTATCAGAGAACGGCGTCCCAGCTGCACACTGGGAGCCCGTGAAGAACATGACTGGATGAAGTAGGCATAGTAGCCTTACATTAAGCGACTTGTTGTAAGCCAAAAGCTCTAGTAATTTAGGATGGACTGTAGTTAGAACCACAACTAAGATGAGCTGGCTACTCCTGGTCCCTTCTGGATCTGCTTAGGGAGGCCTTAATCTGTAAATTATTATGCCCTAGTCTTTCCCCTGGCAGCCTCCACTGCCCAGTGTGCTGAATGGCATCTGGGTGGTGTATGTGAGGTTTGGAGGAGAGAAGAGGACGGACAATCCATTAGGAACAGGTACAGCATAAACTGCAGGGTCCTGAGATAGACCAGAGTTACAAAATTAAGAAAGCTTTATTTTGTTCTCTGTCATATATGACCCAGGTAACAAAACAGGCCGGAATAGACAACCGCCCCTGCCCCCAGAGTTACCACTTAGCTTGCTGTTCCTTTGTGTTCAAGAGTAAAGGGTCTTTGATGGGAATATTTCTACTTGAAAGAATAGGGGAACCCACTAATTGATGTATTGCATATAGGCTCTGAAGGATTCAACTGTTTGAAGTATTAAAAAGTAACCACTTTGCAAATACCTAAGGCCATGTAGTACAAAACACATATTTTTTGTATGTTCTCCTTGCTTTCATTTGATATTAACAATAAATTCAAACATTTTCTGGGGGCATGAAGGGAGCCGTTTTGCCTTTTGAACTAAGATGTAAGGGGGCAAATCACTTAAGTGCTCCAGACGTCAGTTTTCTTTGCTGGCAAGACAAGCTTTGGCTTAAATGATCCCTGAGGCCCCAGCAAGCTCTTACCTCCTGTAAATCTATGATATTTTTCCCAATAATGTTAACATGTCAATTTTTCTTTTTCATATTCTCTAAATTTTCTTGAATGTGCATGTTTTGCTTTTTAATATAAAACAAATCTTTAAAAGGAAAAAGGGAACAAATTTAAACATGTTGTCCTCAGGTCCTGGATTCTGTGCAGAAAAAGTATTTCTGGGCTGAAAAATTGACTTACTTACCTCTTTTGGGATATGTACTCAATAACGAAAAGAGCACACGGCATTGAACCTCATCCTGTGTTTTGTATTTGCAGTTGCAGGGCCTACCTCAGCTGACCAGCAGCAGCTTCCTTCCAGCTTTGGATAATAAGAAGTACTACTGGAATATGAAGAAACTGAACTACCAATTTCCAAACATTTAAGGAGCTTGGAGATGGATGATGAAAAAGGAGTTAATAATTTGGAGAAAATAAAATGTATACGTTTGCTTGAAAACAATCATGATGTTGAAAGAACATTAGGAGAATACATAAGTAATAAACGTTGGGGGGGGGGTTGGGGAGAGGGGGGAGGCCACCTGGCAGAACAGAAAGGGAAATTCTAGAGGCAGCCTTCCAGGCTTCACGATGGTGATCAGAATGGAAAGGAAACACTTGTTTGGATTTTCACTTGCATTTTTGTTGTATATAAGTAGCTGAGCTAAAGGACAGAAATAAAAACTGTACTTACTACCCCTATCTCTGGCAAAATTAGAAATGTAAGAAGGATTTATACTTCTATTGTACCATATGCAACAAGTGAAAAATGGATTACAAAATACCCATATGTATTTCTTGCAGAGCTTTTGCCTTGAGTCCTATCCCCTGCCTTTTCAGACTGTCTCAACATCATATTTAAGAAGAGTTTTAGTTCCTGAAATCAAAATGCTTACAATTCTATTTCCTGCTTGCTCTATCTCCTGCTTTTCATATTTTAAAACATTTTTAGAATATTTAAGAGTTCAAAATACTTAAAATCATGGATTATCGTTAACAGCATGACTTGCTTGCATATTTAATTATGTTTATAGACATTTCTTACATATACTTTTGTCTTTACCTTTAGTAAAGGCTGCACCTTAGTCATTTTTGCAGGCAAGATGGGTTTACATAACCCCTCTCCAGGTGACCCAGTTCCCCTTGCAAACCATGATGTGAAGCCTGGCAGCTGACCAAGGCTTGAATCAAGGAGTAGAACAAGACCTACAGGCTTCACGGGAACCGAGCCTATCAGCCTGAAAGTAATTAGTTCTTCATTCTCTCCAGCTCCGCCTCAGACTTGGAGACAGATCTACAGGCAGGACTATCTATAATGATCTGGGTTTTGGAAGAAATTGCTTGTGGGTTTTTACTCGGACCATAAAAGACATTAGGTTGTAAACTGAGATTGTCCCTGAAATGCCTTTTAATACTGTATGTATGTATGTGTGTATATATATACACACATACATATAAATACCTACACGTGTGTGTGTGTATACATATACTATGCTAAGAACTGGTAACAACTAATAAGAAAGGAGTCCAAAATGATACTGAGGATTCCTAGCTTTGTCTCGTGATACTTCAAAGGATGACATATAATTAGCTTTGACTTGGCCTGCCGCTCCTGTTCCAAACGCTTTCTCATCCTCGTCCCTGAACACAAGGGCAAGATAAAGCTCATGTCCACTGCCAGTTTCGGTTGATGTGCTGCTGCTTCTTCCTCAGTGGTTCCCAGCCATGCTCTTTGAAACTGTATTTTACTGTCTCTTCAAAACCTTCCTTCTGTGCTCTGGTAACTTCCTTCCTGACAGCATTTGACTTTATTCACTTAGTCCTAAGTAACTCACCAAATTCGGGAGTGTGTTCAATAATTTTCGCTACTCCAGCCAGTTGAATGATACCCTGAGGCTCCCGGATGTATGTAGCTTCTGGCGAAGAGCTGACAGGGGTTAAATACTAGTCCCAGCAGTATCTAATTCTTCTCACGTGGCTTTGATTCAAATGACAAGGAAGGACATCCCACTTCTGTTCACATTTTCTGTTTTCCTTTTTAACCCAAAACAATGCACTTGACAGGCAGATGACTGTAACTGCCTAATTCATTCAGTAGTTTTATAGAAAACCATTCAGAATACAGAAGTAGTTCTAGACTAAATTGTGGTAAATCCATTGCCTCACCACACAATAATCAAACAAATCTGAGATGGAAGCGTTCATTTTTTCTAATGAGTTCTATTAAATGTGTACCAATGCTTAATTTAACCACATCTGTAGTCCTTCATTCAGCATGGATTCACCACTGTTTCACATGAGACTGTTCTACATCCTAGTCTTGTTTTTTTTTTAATTTACTGTGTTCTGATTTTTTAATTGACAGTGGCAATTTTATTTGTAAATAGTATATCAATTATGGCATGTGCTATTTACATAAGCTGGCTTCTAAACACAACTAAAATTCATTTTTCTACCCAAATGCTGCATCATACAGTGTTTATTTTAAAATTATTTCTAGTCAAGGTTATAGTTAAGAGCATAATGTTCAAACCAAACATACAGAAATCTACAAACAAGTTGGCATATAATTAACAGTAATAGAACCAGGGGCATTTCAAGGTAAAAATAAAGATCTGTTTTTATCCATATATGATATTCTTTGTCACTGCTCTCTAGATATAAACTGAATTTTGCGCTTATACCTTTTTTTTTTTTGCACTTCTTTTTGATGTCCCCTGAGCCCATAGGAAGCAGTATCCAAGATGTGTGGGGGAATAAAAATTAGTTTCTAATTGACATGTTAAAATTTTCTATTTAAAGCAATATTTTAATTTAAGCAAAAAATAAGTATAATTGTGCTGGTCTTCGTGATCATTTCCTCTGTTTTATTGCAGTCAGCAAAACTATTTGAATTCAGCCAAATATTTATGTCTAGTTTTAATAAAACCCTTGACTAAGCTTACAAAATAGACAAATTAGCCAGAGAAAGGTGTATGTTATAAAGAACACAGGAATGTAGGATCATGAGAAATGCATACAAATCCTGGGAAGCAATATGAATGCCTCAACAACCACTGACCGCCTTTTATGATTGGCTCCACCAATGAATCTGAAATTTAGCTTTCAGTTTCTCATAATTGTACATTTATAGTAGCATGCTTCAGTAACTTTAAAAGGTAACAGTCCTATAAATTACTGATAAAGTACAATAAAGAATATCTGTTGCACATTTAAATAACTTTTTTTTAGTTTTTTAAAATATATTTTTTAAAGATTTTATTTATTTATTTGACAGCACAAGCATGGGGAGAGGCAGAGAGAGAAGCAGGCTCCCAGCTGAGCAGGGAGCCTAATGAGGGGCTCGATCCCAGGACCCTGGGATCATGACCCGAGCCGAAGGCAGATGCTTAACCAACTAAGCCACCCAGGGGCCCTAAATCACTTTAAAGAACTCTGTCTTTATCTACATAAGAGTTATCTACATAGATATATAAAATGAGGAATACATTAGAATTAAACTGCTACCTGGTTTCCATTTTTCTTAAAATGATTTAATGTGCATAGACTGAGTCAAGTCTGAATATTTATTCTCTACATGATGGACTCTCTGCTTCTGAAATGTCATGATATAACATCCTTAAGGTCTGTTGATGATTATATAATATTTATTGCTGTTTAGGGTCAACAATTTCAAATGATACTTTATATTGAAATAAGACACCTATCGAATATTATTATTTTACTTCAAGTCTAACTTTAGTTCCAGAGAAGGCAGTGCTGTCTTAAAGGTTCGGATAAGGTTTTCTTTTTCTCTTACTCCAGGAAGATCACTTAACAACAAGTACTTGAGGTTTCTGCAAAAAAAGAAGGAAAAAAAAATGTACTACAGTTGGCCTTTACTCTTACAGCATTAAAATTAAACTCCATTCAAGGCTTTTAGAAAAAATGACACACAGAATGTACTTATATCACACTATACTATACTTTCAAAATGACTGAGAACAGCAATTTTAAGAATGCGACTTTAAATGAAATTCATGCTAGGAACTAAGCCAAACCTTGGGAAGTTTAGTTGTTCTGAATTACATCAATAATTCTAGCTGAATCTTTCCAAATACTATACATGTATTATAGCATAGAAGTCCTTTGCATGTGAAATACGAAATATGAGTCTTAATCTAGAAAGGGAAAAAAATTGGGGAAGTTCTTAAAGGAACTTCATTAAAAGATGAAGCCTCAAAGCCTCAACTAATGTAAGAAACAATCTACTACTTTGGGTTCCAATGTTTAAAATTTCTCTACTAAAAAGAAAGAAACTTAAAAAAAGCAGGGGGAGAATGCCTGGCTGGCTTAGTCAGAAGAGCATGCAACTCTTGATCTTGAGGTCATGGGTTCGAACCCCACATTGGGTATAGAAATTACTAAAAAAAATAAAATAAAATTTCTTAAACTTCCTGTGATACTTTTTTTTTTTTTTTAAGATTTATTTATTCATTTGAGAGAGTGAGAATGAGAGAGAGTACATGAGAGGGGGGAGGGTCAGAGGGAGAAGCAGACTCCCCGCCGAGCAGGGAGCCCGATGCGGGACTCGATCCCGGGACTCCAGGATCATGACCTGAGCTGAAGGCAGTTGCTTAACCAACTGAGCCACCCAGGCACCCAAACTTCCTGTGATACTGAGGTTACTGTCAGAACATGGGGAAAAAATGCTTTAAAAGATGGAGAGGAAGCATAATAGCAAATGCCCACTGGCCGCTTACTGGAGCAGGCACCATGCTAGGTGCCTTAATTATTAATAAATAATTATTATTATAATTAATAATAAGGTGGTTGTAGTCCTTCTGCCACCTCTCCTGGCCATGGTAGCGCACCATGGCTCCACAGCGCAGCAGCCAAATATATTTACTAAGTAAATACTTTTTTAAAGAGATGTCCCCTAAGAAATGCAATATAACAATAACAATGTATTAAGGTTGATAATTTTAACTGTTTGAAAGTATTACAGATGAAAGTTAAGTCATTTTATGTATTTTTTCCAAATTAAAAAAAGGCGCCACCTCTCAACTGTTTTATTTATTTAGTTTTTGAAAGATTTTATTTATTTATTTGACAGAGAGAGACAGCAAGAGAGGGAAGACAAGCTGGGGGAGCGGGAGAGGGAGAAGCAAGCTTCCCGCTGAGCAGGGAGCCCAATGCGGGGCTCGATGCGGGGCTCGATGCGGGGCTCGATGCGGGCTTGATCCCAGGACCCTGGGACCACGACCTGAGCCGAAGGCAGACGCTTAACGACTGAGCCACCCAGGCGCCCCTCAACTGTTTTAAATTCTAATTATTCAGGGCACTGGGCTGGCGCAGTTGATAGAGCATGCAACTCTTCATCTCAGGGTTGAGAGTTCGAGCCCCACACTATGGATAGAGTTTACTTAAAAAAAATTTTTTTTAATTTAAATTCTAATTATTCATTTTAACCTCATTATCAAGTTTCCATTTTGGCGCTGACCACCTACCTTAAGTGATATAAAGCAATGATGCCTCTGTCTGTGATATTCCCACATGAAATTATCTCCATTTCCAATATGCTTTTTTGTAAATTTTCAAGTTTACCAAGTCTCTCCAAACAGTCATCCTCAATATAATGACACTTGCATAGTCTTATTTTTTCAACATGCTGTAGGCCCTCTGGGAGATAAAAGATACGTTTTAAGAACCTGCTTTACCATTAAGATAACCAACTGTCCTAGTTTGGCCAGGACTATTCTGGTTTTAGGATTGAAAATCCTATGTCCTGGGAAACCTCTTAGTCCCCGGAAGACTTGGATGATGAGTTACCCTAATAACCATACAAGGTATTCACTATACAGGTTGTGCTGATGGACAGGACCATTCTGTAATCAGATGCCCAAGTACTGGAGGAAAGAAATGCCCACGCAAGCAGAAAATGTATGGGTATGATCATTCTTACATTACTGAGAGTTTCTCAAATGATGGAAATTTGACAAAAATAGTTTGATAAACAAGGCCTTGAATTTTAAACCAATAAGCACAAAATAAAGGCATGTAGAGACAAGCTTAGTGAAAGGAGAAAGGAGAAGAAGGCGTTTGTAACCTCTATTTAATTTTAAAGAATCACACACAGAAATAAAGACTGGATGGTACTGGAAAGGCAAAAAGGAACACACCTATGACTATAATAGTGAGTCACCTGCAACAAAATGTCATTGCAAATCACCTACATTTCCCATAAGCAAATGACAGGGTAGTTACCCAGGTGATCAAATCCAATTCTCATGATACAAGAGTCGGTGGCATCAATCGCCTGAATCTTGTATTTGTCCAGAGGTCCGGTTGGGAGGTGGTTGTAGTCCTTCTGCCACCTCTCCTGGCCATGGTAGCGCACCGTGGCCCCACAGCGCAGCAGCCACTCAGATGCTGCCCTATCGGGTCCCACATCCTTGATGCGTTCATAATCCACTCTGTTGGCAAGAGAACAAAAGCGGTTCGTTTTTAGTATAATCACTAGCTGCTTAACTTTAGTCATCAGCATAAATACACTACTTCAACAACTTTTCCTTTCAAATGACTGAGGAGGGAGATAAGTATATTAGGAAGAGCCAGTAAAAAAACATACGATGGCTCCTCCTGCTCCCTTGTTTTTGTTTCCAAGTGAACTCAGTCAAGGCCTATTATTTTTATATGAGTTTATCAGGCAGGCATGAGTCTTCATTGATTCATATGTAGCACTGTGCTTGACACCAGGAGGTACTCAGTAACCATGTACTGAGTGAATGACTATACTTGGTTATTGTTTTTATTAATGATAAAATATAAAAGGGAATAATTTTGAATCTATGTTCAAATTAATCTCATTGATACTTATTAATTTCTACTTATACTCTTCTAATTAGTCATGTTAATGCTGTATTAAGCAACGAGATTAGTTTCATTAGTTTCAAAATGGTATTTCTAAGTATGCCACCCACTTTTTGAAAAACTTGAGTCCCCCTGGTAGTATTCAAAAGGCTAACTATATCCCTTAAGCCATAGTATATTCTAAAATTACATTTGCTGAGCTTTTCTGGTTACAAAAATAATATATTTTCATTTCAGAAAACTTGAAAAGCATCAAAAGGACAAATAAGAAAAATCATTGAAATCCTACAACGTAGTCAGTTAATATTTTGTAATCTATTTTTCTGGCCTTTATTCAATGTCTGTGTGTATGTTTTATTTGTTTTTATATAAAATTAGGATCCTATTGCACACATTGTACAAAAAAGCATTTGAAATACAAGAAATAACCAAATTAGCTACTGGGAACTCATGTAGCTGTAATAATACCCACGTTTCTTCACTTCAGTTAGAGTAACTTACTTATTAAACACTGCATTCAACCAGCCCCAGAAGTTTCTGCAGTCACATGACCATGGGAGTTTCTTTAAGCCACATAACTGCTGGGAAATTTTTCCAAACAGCATCATTTGATCTAGACACACAAAACAGTATCCATATTAGATCATTAGCTGGCAATCTGAGTCCCATACATCCAGTAACTTACTTTACAATTTCAAAGTCAATGCTCTTGTGCCAATAAAGCTGATGAGTCATTTGCCACTCAAAGTTTTTGAGCAAGTCACTCCTGTCTCTGTTTCTTGGTTTCTTTGCTGCAGAAAAGAGGGGCTGGACTGGATGGTCTTCTAAGGTTCCTTCCAGCCTTGATGTTAAGTTTCACTCTTCACCCCTCAATTGGAGTCTGCCCACAGTGTTGCCAGCAGATGTCCATCCAGGCAGTGCACCCACATATTTGCTGAAACCAGCTCTGCTCCCAGTCTACATTTCCAGTAGCAAAAGGACAAACTGAAATCACCTAGGAGCAGTGTGTCAAAGTTAAGATGCTTATAGCCAGGGAGGGAGAGGAGACATGAAAACAGACCTCTCTATGCCAAGGCTGCAAGTACTATCACCAGAACAGTGCGAAGAACTATGCAAGGGCAGCTAGGGAAGACTGGGCAAGTAACTTCACCTCGCTGACCCTGGGTTTTCTCACATGTAAAATAAGGTGATTTGCTCAGATGATTTCCAGCTGTAAAAATTTATAACCATGAGTTGAGAAAGTGATTTCTGAACTGAGTCTCAATCTGATTTATTTCAGTTCAAGTTTCTCTAGTAGTGTGCTACGTTGGGGGAAAACAAAGATAAATGAAATGTGGTTTCTGCCTTTGAGCTGCTGAAAACTGAATGCAGGGTGAGTGAGCTAAAACAAGTTACCAGGTAGTTAAAATAAATGACAGAACCTGAAAGATTCCTCAAAGAGTTAAAATAAGAACGGACCAGGATTTCAACGGGAGGAGGTATGTCAAGTGATTAGCTGAGGCAGAAACGTTTAAGGCCTGTTGTAGTTCAGTTTGGTGAGTACATGGGGACCCTTAGAAGAGGAGGCAGACAATTTGCACAGTCACATCAGGAAGGGTCTCACATGATCAGCAAGGGAATTTGGACGATCTGCTGCAGGCAGTTGGGTCACTGAAGTTTAAGCAAAGAGCGCTGGCATTGTTAGAGCTATGCTTCAGAATATTACTTGGACAACAGCATCAAGATTGAGGGTCAATAAAACAGAACAGAGAGACAGCTAACAAGGGCTTCAGCTACATGTGGCCATGGGAAAGGACCAAGTGGGGGAAGAATGGGAATGACATTACAGGGTGGTTTCCACATGGCTCAGTGAGATGCTGAGACAAGGGCCAGAATAGTTGAAGAGGACACTAAGTTTTGGTCCCAGGTCACTGGTTGATGCCACATGTCAATGTCAGGAGGACAGGCTGTAGGTTTCCCTCACCTCCATCCCCAGTTTTTCATATTCTAAATATGAAGTGTTAGCAGAACTTCTAAGTGGAGATAACCAACAAATCATCAGAATCAGAGTCACAAAATGGGAGAATTGGAATGAATTTAGACTACCTAGACCATCTACAGATGAGGAAACTGAAGCCCTGATATTAAGAAAATTACTGACACCCTAAATCCCTTCTGGAACAAGGTGGGGTATTAATAAATGCATACATTTAAAAGGACTTGCTCAATGTTTCGTGGCTAATTGGTGGCAGCACTGAAACTTGAACCTAGTTCTCCCTTCTTCCAGTCCAGGGCTTTTTCCTCAGTCCTGGATGGTACTAGAACTGGGGAAAAAGAAGACTAGAAAGAGGCCTTAGAGCCAAGAAGTGACTGAAGATGTTGAGGTTCTAGAACAGTGAGAGATGAGGTCTGAGGACAGACCCTGGGATCATCTCCCCTCCTCATCTCTTTTAAGATTTTATTTGACAGAGAGAGCGAGCGCACAAACAGGCAGAGGGGCAGGCAGAGGGAGAAGCAGGCTCCCCGCTGAGCAGGGAGCCTGATGTGGGACTTGATCATAACCTGGGCGGAAGGTAGACGCTTAACCAACTGAGCCACCCAGGCACTCCTCTTCATCTATTTTCTACCATCATCTGCCTTCATTCCTGCAACCTACCCCCTGCTATCACTCTCTTGTTTTCAGCCCTTCCTGGCTTTTTGTTAAAGCTCTCTCCACCTGTGCCCACCTTTGGTAACTCGACTGGCTGCCAATCTCATTTATCTGGGCTTTCGAGCTTCAACTCAGGCTGTCCTATTTACTGTCCCTCTCTGCCCCACATCCCCATCCTGTCTGTGGAAATCTTACCCAACCTCGAGACTTCATTCAAATGCCATCTCCATCCATCCATTCATTCATTCACTCAATAAGTATTAATTGAATGTCTGCTATACCTAGTGCCAGAGATATAATGGTAAGATTACAAAAACAACAAAGGAGAGACAAAGACAAGGTTCCTTATCCTCACAGAATGTATAGTCTAATGAAGACAGACAACATAAGAACAAATAAATAATATGCAATATATCTTAATAGAGGTATGAACAAGTTCTGTGAGAGCCGAGAGGAGGGAGTGAAGAGAAGGCTTCACACTAGAGGTCTTTTGAGATGGGTCTTAAAGGATAATTAAGGGTTTTGAGTTAGGCCGAAAAAAAGGAAAGTATGCAGAGCAAAAAGGACAGCAAGGATCACATCTTATTCACTGCTATTTTTCTTAGCAGCTAGCACATTCCCATCCCCCTAATGCAAGAGTTTAATAAATATTTGCTAATTAGTAATCTTCAATGGTTAGTATATTTCCATAGAGAAAGGTAAAACCAGAGAGACAGTTATTAAGCAGGTAAATTAGAGTGGTCTGTGAAAATTGAGTACTTTCACGTGATTCATTCTGGTTCACTTCATAATTCAGCTTAAAGGAAAGGCTAAATTTACAACCACTATGACCTCTAAAAATATTAGATGTTATATTTAAAATAATTTAAACATGATTATAAAAATTTTACTTGGCAATAAAGATAAAAAAAATTGGCAGGTTTTTACATTTTCAACTGTGCCTGTGTAACTGATTTTAGAAATTGCAGATGAATTCAAGCAGCTACCTCGGGGAGTTTTCTATAAGGAAAGAGGAGACCTCTAGTGGTGAGTTGGTGAATTTAGCTCTGATGATTAAAAAAAAAGTTAACAGCAAGTTAAAAAAAACAGCCACTACTAAATTATTGCTGCAATAAATAATTCAGAAACTAAAACCACTTTAAAAAGCTCCTTCTTACTATCAGAATCTGGCTTAGAGCACATGTTTCTAAAAATTGCAATTGTGCTTGTAACTTCGAGAAGGCCAGATCTCTAATGTTTTAATTCAAGATATACACAAAATGTTTCTGAGTAGGTTTGGTTGAGAGTTTCCGTTTGCATAAAAACAGTACGTTTTTTTTTTTTTTAAGTGGAAGTTCTGTTTTTACTTAGCTGGGCTATTCAAACTAAGTGGTTCAAAAGACTGAACTAAGGAACTAGTTCTTGAGGGTAAATAAAATTTGTAGGGATGGGGTGGTATTGGAATTGGGGCGCTCTTCCCCCAAATTACAGCCCCACCTCACTGCAAATCAGTGACACCAATTCTTATTCCTGAGGTGTATAAAGTCTAACGAAATGGAACTGAAGAATTCATTAGGAATTGGAAGTGAAGTTCCCCAAAGCCATTCTTAGGCCAACATCACATGGGGCTCATTGAAGTAATACCTTATGGGTTCTGACACAGATGGAAAATTAACATGAATTCTCAACTGAGGGTGGTGTCATGAATATAGATGTCATACCAAAGACATTATGGGGTGTATGAATCAATGTAAGGTGGGCTCTTGATTTGAAATTACTTAATTGAAACAAATTAATGTACAAACCTAGGGGAGAGGATAAGAAGAAAAAAATTTTATGCAAAGAGCAGGTGTACTGTGAGTTCTTTCACCTTGCTAAACTAAGGAGCATGTACTCAAAATCACATGGTAAATAAGTCACTACTTTGGGTTCAAGTGGCCCATAAAAGTCTGACCACAGACCATAGAAATGTATAATTCTGTATTTAACCTAGTAACAAATCGACTACATCCTGTGCAAACTAAAAAACAACCATCCCCACTACACACTTATCAGCATGGCTAAAATAAAAAATAGTGACAACACCAATTGCTGGTGATGAGGAGACACCAGATCTCTCAAACATTGCTGGTGGGAATGTATAAAGGTACAGCCACTTTGGAAAACAGTTTGGCAATTTTTTACAAAACTAAACATGTGCTTATCATATGTATGACCCAGCAACTGGACTCTTAGGCATTTATCCCACAGAAACAAAAACAGGTTCACTGCAGTACGCTGATGTTCATAGCAGCTTTATTCCAAATAGCTAAAAACTAGAACAATAGAGATGTCCTTCAATGGGTGAATGGTTAAACCTATTGTGGTACATCCATACCATGAAATACTACTCAGCCATAAGGAATAAATCTTTGATACATACAAACATTTGGATGTATTTCAAGGGATTCTGCCGAGTGAAAAAAAGCTAATTCCAAAAAGTTACATACTTTATAATTCTGTTTATAGAACATTCTTGAAATGACAAAATTTTAGAAAGGGAGAACAGATTGGGGAGGGGGTGCCCTGCAGGAGTGAAGTATAGTTAAAAGGGCACCGGGAGGAATCCCTTGTGGTGATGTAGGGTGTTGTAGCTTGACTGTGGTGGCAACACAACAATGTACACATGTGATAAAAATTACATAGAACTGGGGTGCCTGGGTGGCTCAGTCAGTTAAGTGTCTGCCTTCGGCTCAGGTCATGATCCCAGGGTCCTGGGATCGAGCCCCCCCTGGGGCTTCCTGCTCAGTGGGGAGCCTGCTTCTCCCTCTCCCTCTGCCATTCCCCCTGCTTGTGCTGTCAAAAAAATAAAATCTTAAAAAAAAACCTACATAGAACCAAATACACACACAAATGTAAAGATGAGGAAATCTGAATAAGATCAACGGAATGTATCGATGTCAATTTCCTGGTTATGATACTGTACTATATTTTTGCAAGATGTTAGCCTTGGGGAAGAATGGGTAAAGGGTACATAGGATCTCTATTGTTCCTTAAAGTTGTATGAGACTCTACAATTATCTCAAAACAAAAAGTTGAATTTAACAAATAACCATCTTATTTTTTTTATTTGTGAAGGAAAAAGTAACATTCTACATTGTTTTCACAAATAGTCAACTGTCCAAGAAGTATAATCATGTAAACATAATAAAAGCAGTAATTTATCCAGTCAGTTGATTCTTGAGCAACCATTCCCCCAGATGTTGAAATCTGCGTAAGTTTTGACCCCTCAAATTTAATTGCCTGTTTGATTAGATAACACAGTTAACACATATTTTGCATGTTATATGTATTATATACTGAATTGTGTGTTTTTTTTTTAAGATTTTATTTATTTGAGAGAGAGAACGTTAGCATGAGCCAGAGGAAGAGGCAGAGGGAGAGAGAAAGGGAGAAGCAGACTCTTCCCTGAGCAAGGAGCCGGATGTGGGTCTCATCCCAGGCCCCTGGGATCATGACCTGAGCTGAAGGCAGATGCTTAACCAACTAAGCCACTCAGGCACCCCATATACTGTATTCTTGTAACAAAGTAAACTAGAGAAAAGAAAATTTTAAGAAAATCCACTTACAGTACTGTACTGTATTTATTGAAAAATATCTGCCTCTAAGTGGACCAGAGTAGTTCAAACCCTTGCTCTTCAAGGGTCAACTGTACTTGACTGTGCCAAACACCCACGAGCCTTATCTCATGTACTCCACGCAACAGCCCTATGCGAGGGACACGACTCTCACTCCTAGTTCACAGAGGAGCATCTGAGGCGAAGAGGCGAAATGACTTCCCCAAGCCACCAGACTAGTGGCTGGAACCAAATTCAAACAAAGTCCTCCCAGCAATAAAGTTTTTAACATTCTACTTTTGTTCTGTTCAGCTGTTCTGACCCTAAAAATTAAGAGTTGCCATCAGGCACAGAGTACAGGTGTTGAACTGCCGCGGTAACAGTGAATCACGGAACTTTTTAGGGATTACACAGCCCACCTCCCTCACCTTACAGATAAGGAAACGGGGTGAAGACACCTATACAGGTGAGTCGCTGAACCCAGCCCCGCACAGCATATTGAAAACCGTATCTCGACCCAGTATTTACGGTAAGGTAGCAGACTGCTAAATGATGGCAGAGACCGAGCCGTCCGGTTCTTCCCGGCGCTCCGTAACTACAGCACCGAGAAAGGACACGGCCAGGAGCCCCACAAAAACAAGTCCAGAAGACTGCAGGCTGCTAGGCGTTGCCGTGACAAAGAGCCTCCGTCTGGAGCCAGGGCTCCAGTGGGCACTCGGCCTGGGGGGGGGGGGGGAAGGGGCCCGTCCGTGGCCAGCAACAGGCCTCCAACTGGCCGGGGCCGGGCCGAGCGGGAGGCAGGCAGGCCGCTGGGCCCGCCCAAAGGAGAGTTTTCACCCCCCGTCACGCCCCGACCTTCTCCCAAAGCCCCCACGACGCTGGGCGGTGAAGACTGAGGATGCACAACTCGACAGGCCCGCTTTTCAGCCAGCCCAGCAGTGGGAGAAGGAAAAGGGCAGAGCGTAACCACCACCCTAATCCCGCCTCGCTCAGGGCCTAGCTCCTCTACTCACAGCGCCGGAGGGAGAGAGGGAGGGAGCGAGCATGCCCCGCGTCTACTGCGCCGCCGGCCTGCCCTTCGCCCTCCGCCGCGCGCGTCCATTGGCCACTGGCGCCACTCCCACGTGGGGCGTCGGCACGCGCTGCATTGGTCCCTGAGTGGGAGGCGGGGCTAGACGGAGCCGGGAGCCGCGCAGCGTCCGGCTTGAGTGGCGAGTTCTGGGGGCTGAGGGAGGGCAGGGGAGGGTGCAGGCGATGGTGCTGGCGCTGCGTTACCTGAGCGGTGCCTGCGGGCGGGCCCGCGCGGGTTTCCCCGGGGGCTTCTCTGCGGCGTGCCGGCCGGCGCGGGGGAGGCCCTGGCCGCTGTGCCAGGGTGGCCGTAGAGCCAGCACCCGGTGAGTAGCCGCTGGCCCGCTCTCGTCGCCTGTGCTACTACTGCTTCTCTCCGAGGTGCCTCTTGCTGGACCTCTGCCCCTGCTCTACTTCCCTGTCCCGGGCGTGAGAGAAGGTCAGGATCCTGTGGAGCCTGGGCTCCAACCTCGGATCCCAGGAGTTACCTTGTAGGATTCATTCGTTGTGTTTGTGTGCGGGATGAAAAGAGTAAGGCAGTGTTGAGTAGAGAGGTCTAGAGCAGTTCTGGTTTTGAATACCACCCCTCCACTTCCTATTCAGTTCTTAGGTGGGTTACTTAAGCTCCTTAAAGGCTCAGCTGTGAGTAGGATCCTAGTCTCTCCCGTACGTGGTCGTTTTAAGGCTTAAAAGGACCTACCACACTAAGCAATCAAATATACTGTTTATTTGCTGACATCCCTGGTGTTGCTTGGAAGACCTGAAACCGTTCTTAAATCAGTCGGTTCCTGGCAAGCATTGCATAGAGTTGCCCCTGTGAGAAGCAGCTCAGTTGCTAATCAAAGCCTGCATAAGTAAGTGTCCTGTGATTTGAAGTTCAGAGGTCACATTAGAAACCACCGTCTTTCTCTGCTCTGTGTGGAGGGAGTGGCTTATGCTAAGGCTTGAAGGCTGGAAAGCTCTTGGCTATTTCAAGAACTGGAAGGTGGACAAGATGAGTGTGACTGTTCTTAGTGGAACAGAGATGGTGTGGAATGACACTGGAGAGAGGCTACATCACAGCAGGGATTTTATTTTCTTTTAACCACATTGAATTTTATTCTAAGAGCATTGGGAGGCTTTTTAAGAAGAGGGAGTGATTAAGTGTTGAGGTTTTTAAGAAGAGGGAGTGATTAAGTGTTGAGGTTTCAAAAGTTGAATGGCTGCTGTGTGTTAGTGGTTTGGAGGGGCTTAGAGTGTGATAGGATTTGTGAGTCATAGTGGGGGTATATAGACAATTATTTGGGGATTGCTTTTCTTAAGGGAAGAAAAGTAGGGCTAGTGAAGGTTTTGTTTATACTTTTTATTTTGAAATAATTATAGGTCCACAGGAAGTTGGAAAAAAAAAAAAAACCAAACCAGATTTTATGTATCCTTCAGCCAATTTACCCCAGTGATAGCGTCTTACCTAACTATAGTACAATATCAAAACCAGGAAATTGACATTATCACAATCCACAGACCTTGTTTAGATTTCATTAGTTTTTACATGCACTCATTTGTGTGTGTTTCTATGCGATTTAATCGTGTTAATTTGTGTAACTGCCACCACAAAATATAGAAATGTTTCATTACCACAAAGACATCTCGTGTTACAATCCCTTTATATTCACATCCCATCTTTCCACCCTTCCTAACCCTTGGCAACCACTAATCTATTCTCTAGCTCTAAAATTTTGTCATTTTGAG